GGCATACAATGTGAATTAATAAAATCAGGGTAATAGGGGTATTCATCACCTTGGGCATTTATCATTTCTTGTGTTAGGAACATTCCAATCCACTCTTTTAGTTATTTTAAAGTATATTCTAACTTATTGTTGGTTTTTTTCTTTTTCTTTCTTCTTTTCTTTCTTTTTTTTTTTTGAGACAGGGTCTCACTCTGTCACCATGGGTAGAGTGCCATGGTGTCATAACTCACAGCAACCTCAAAGTCCTGGCTTGAGTGAGCCTCTTGCCTCAGCCTTCCAATAGCTGGGAATACAGGTGCCCAACACAACACCTGGCTTTTTTTTGGTTGTTGTTATTGTTTAATAGGCCCAGGTCGGGTTCAAACCTGCAGTCCTGGTGCCTGTGGCCAGTGCCCTAATCGCTGAGGTGCAGGTGTGGAGCCGCTTATTGTTGATTATAGTCAGTTTGTTGTGTTACTGAATATTGTTCATTCTATCTAACTACCTGACCTTATTTTTGCACCCATTAACCATCCCTACTTTATCCCCACCTTCCTGCTATCCTTCCCAGCTTCTGGTAACCATCATTCTACTGTCTCCATGAGATCAATTTTTTTTTAATTAAATGATAGCTATGTACATTAATGCAAACATGGGTACAGTGCAGTGTTTTCATATACAATTTGAAATATTTTCATCAAACTTATTAACATAGACATTATGTTATTTACTTAGTTATTCTGTTGAGATCAATTGTTTTAATATTTAGCTCTTATCCCACATGTGAGTAAGAATGTGCTTCTGTACTTGGCTTATTTCACTTAACACAATGTTCTCCAACTCTATCCATGTGGTTGCAAACAGTAGGACTTCATTCTTTTCTGTAGCTATATAATATTCTATTGTATATATAAACAACAATTATTTATCCATTCATCCTTTGATAGACACTTAGGCTGACTCTAATATTTAATTTTAGTTTTTTTAGAGATGGGGCCTCAATGGATCCTTCTGCCTTGGCCTCCCAAAGTGCTGGGATTTCAGGCTTGAGCCAGCATGCCTGGACCATTATACTAATTTTATTTTATTGTATTTATATTATATTATTATTACATTATATTAATTTATTTTTTTTCCATAGAAATTAGGTAGATCATTTTATTTTTTTCTGTATTTCACAAGAATAATTTTGGAAGGGCTATTTGACAAATTTGAGCATTAACTGCCAACTGTATAGACATGTTTAACAAAAAAGGCATTTACTCTTGGCCCTTTTAATACAGGCAAAGTGCCCTATTGCATCACAAATCCTAAGGATGCAATAACAGATCTGAGGTCATAATATTGAAGAAATAAGATGCTTTCTTCCAACTTCTATTTAGTTGATAAATAACATAACATAAACATACATTAAGGGCTATTTTGACGATCTGCAGAATAAAATCTATAGGCCTACCTACTTCAAAGGCTGAAACAAGTAAAAC